AAGTCTGTAAAATATTTAAATCAAACTTGTTTTACAGGTTATAAAGAAGATGTGTCTAAATTATCAGGCAATTTTGATAATTTTTCATTATTCTATGCGCTATATCAAAAATTCCGAATATTTATGACGACCACTGTAATTTATAACGATAACATTAACTCAAATTAATATAATACAAATCAAAAAACATTATATTAAAACACAAACATTATACATATAATTAAAACTTTCTAATTTGACTTGCATTAGATAGATCAATTAAACATTATGCAATCACCATAGGATTTAAAGGATATATATAGAGTTTAACTAATAAAAAAAAATTTAATAAATTAAAAAAACCAAAATATTGACAATGTACATTTTATTCATTAATATATAATTTCTCGTTTTTCCATGCTCATTTTACTTAATTTTCAAACCAGTTATTAATTCATTTTTTACTCTTTTACCTTTCTCCGTCACTCACTTGCTGGTAGATAATTTATACAAGTGTGCATAGAATAGTGACTACTTTTATGAGGCACAAAATAACTTCAATTATATTTCTCTCACGTATAACGGTACTCCCCGAAAAGTGCCCCTTCTATAGTATCCTCTCCTCACATAATATTCAAGTTAGTGGATCTGACCATAATAATTTTCAAAAATTAGTTATTAGTCTAAAATCGAGTCCCTTAATAATATCTTCGATATTGTTTTCATTCGAATTTTGGAAGTTATAGAAAAATATTCGGAAAAAAAATACATTATCGTTATCGTACGCATCAGTATCTGTATGTTATGATCGATAAATATAATTTGATAAGCGTGCTCAATCTGAAAAACGATCAAGAATCATCCCCCTTGACATTTTACCAGTTATTCAAAATGATGATGAATTGAAAAATTTATTTTCTTCTCTCTTGCCAAGTCTTGTTCAAGCTCTTCTATAAGGAGACAAGGAAGATATCGAAGTCGTAGAGTCTGAATCAGAGGGGAACGACACAGTTGGTAAGACCATAAAGCTTGAATCTTTAGTGCTCTCAGAGGGAAACAACATAGCCGCTGACGAAACCAGAAAGCTTGAATCTTTAGTTGGAATGAAGAACGAAGGTATTCAGGTCATTTATCCTAATTAAATTTATCATATTTATTTTATGATTATGTACGGCAGTTGAGATTATGTTCAATTGAAAATATCGCAGAAATTATTGATAGATTACCTCAATTATTAGATTTCTAGTGTAAATAAATGTGAATAAACCAAATACGTCGGTCGCTACAAAAGCCTATAAGGAATTTATAACTGGTATTTTGACAAATGTCTTCGTGTTCTTGAGAAGGCACAAGAGGATACATGTATTTTGAAAAAGCTTCTGCAATGCAGTTCCGCACCAAATTCTATTGAATGAGTGTATATTTGACTAAAAATCCGGCATATCTTAGATGTGTCAATGCGTAACAGAAAGTGACTCGTAAGTTAAAATTGAGAATTATGTCATAGTCAATAAACCGAATTTCCCTTTGGAAAAACGAATTTTATATTTACCTAATATAGTTATCGACAACATGCCTAAAAAACCATTAAATGTTAGATGCATTTGCACATAAAGAAACCGCGTTTTCGGCAATTCATCTTTAAAATTTTTTACGTTCTTTCAATAATAATAATTCGAAGTTTTCCCAGCTATTTCTTAATTTTGCGTTGAATAATTCGTTGCTTGGAAGTGAAAAAATTCATTCTTTTTCAATTGCAAACATATTTTGCAAGGAATATCGGTATTGTTTTCGACATACTGCACATATGTACGTATGCTGCTCACCTAAAACAATTCCATTAGGCAAACATCTGTTGGTATGCATTTTCATGGTTCCGAGGTTTCGCTATGCTCAAATCATCGTTACGAGATTACATACATGTATATGCATGTAATTTAAATTGAATTTTCACCAGCCATTTTCAGAATCGGTAAACTCTATACATTCCAAGGGCTTCTTATCTCAGCAAACACAGCGACCCAAAATTAGATGTATATTGTACTTATTCCTTTCTTTACTTAAAACTGGTCATTATACTAAAAATATAATGTCATTGATCGAGAATTTATAATTAACTAAAAGCTGTCTGGAGATCATGTCAATGTACTAATGATATCTGATGAAACTATTTTCATGATGACGAATGACGTGACGAAACCATTCGTCAGACGAAACCTGTTGTGCAGAACAGAAAAGGCAAGCAAACTACAAAAACTCTTAATAAGAACTGTTTATAGGTCAAATGATCTGTCGACATTTATCTTTTGTTGTAATCAAATACTCAAGATTGTAATAATTGCCGTTTTATGTCAAAAATGGAATTCTCACTGTGCAGAAGTTATTTTTCTCATATTTTATCTAACCGTAATTTGAATACGAATTATTTATATGCTAATCCTAATTACGAAAAAATTATCTCTAATAAAATTTACATAGAAAAGTACCGATAAAAAACGCTGGTTTTTAATAGATCAAAGAATGATAACAATTTTATATTTTTATTGATGTATTGTGTAATTAAGCGGATACATATATATTCTTTTTAATTCACTAATACTAAAGATTTTTCTCTTCTCTTTAATTGTCACACGCTTTACACTTTTTCGCAATGTGTGGTATGTCACTTCTTTATGAAAAGACATTTTCACGTTAGATTCAAGAATCGATGTTCATAAATTTCTAACATTATATTCTTATTCATATGATAGATCTATCTAGGTTAAAAAATGAGATGACATATCTAGAACATAAAAAATAAGGCTGACCTATTCTATAATGTGAATATAAATGTGCTGCGAGATTCTAGATAATAGTTGATCTTTTATTAGTTGTGTGATTTCCATGGATAAAGTTTGGGTAGGAGAGGATGAAGTAGGTGATGGCATAGATGATGGCAGAATAGTAGATTTGTGGAAGAGACACTATATCCCATGTTATTGGAACGAAACTAGCATTAAAATCACCAATTTTATTAATAATATCCAAAGTTAAATCCAACTATCTTGTACTGTCACGGTGACCAATTCTAATGGTCCATGAACAATAATTTTCTTCCCACAAAAAGCGGATGCATTTGGATTTGATGAATTACCCCATTGTGATTTATTTAACGCGCATATAATTTCAAGTATAGTACAATAAATTTGTACTGGAAAACAATATTGTAGGATTATTGATTTTTTTCTTTAAATTAATCATTTTCTTGGTATGTACATGCATAGATATATACTAATGATACTTTATAGAGATTCAATCACGTCACCAAAACCAAATTTAATAATGTGTTAAAATACGCCACGAGAGTAGATCATTAATATTAAAACCTGCTGCCACTAAAATTAGTGAAAAGTAACTTTCTGTGTAAGCATTTGTTTTGTTCTTCATATATATACTTAACACATGGTCAAGAAGGTTATGCCCAATGCCTATGTTGAAACTTGTAGCTATTCTTTATGCATTATGAGTATGATTAGTATGAGTAAGTGTTATTTATAATCAAGTTTGAATGGTATATGTTAGATCTCTTCTTTTATTATAATATAAAAAGTAATATTAATCTTCTTGAGTAAGATATTAGCTCTAGAATTATTTTAATTCTAATGAAATGTGTTAAGACAAAACAGTGGTTTAATAAAAGTTAAAATTATATTATTCGATCAATATATATATGTCAACATTCATTTAATTCTTGTTAACTTCTTGATGCATAATTAACTATGGAAGTAGATGAGGTTTTTTATATTTCATAACTGTAAATTATCAAATCTTATATTAATAAAATAAATTATTACATGTCCACGTGAAATAATGGATTTTATTTTTAAATTCAAGCTATATTACTCATACAAATTTATTATTAAAATAATACATGTAATTTATAATAAATAATGCATACAAATTTATTTTAAATAAATTATTAAAGCTAATTTATAATAAACAAAACTCAAAAAAATTAAAAGATCAAATAATTTGCTAAACTATTTCAAATCATTATATATCCTACATGTATTCAATTATAATTTCTAAAATGCTAATTATTACTATCGATATGGTAAAATTCCTAATTGTAATTACCTAAGTTTTGATTGGATAACACCCGATCTGTTTAGCCAGAAGCTTTTCGTAATAACCTGTGAAGGAATAAAAAACTTAGTTAATACGAGTATAAATTTTGAAGTATATCATGAACACTTTAAAAATACTTGTCTCTCCCATGAAATCGGTCCAATCCATCTATGACAACCATCCATGATTATCTCTTCATTCATGTCAACCTCCCATGCAGTCCATCCACGGGTGATTTATCTCTTCCATGCAATCCATCCATGTAATCCATCCATGTCAACTATTCATGCAGTCCATCCATGTTTATCACCCGGGTGATTTATCTCTTCCATGCAATCCATCCATGTTAATCTCCCATGCAATCCATCCATGTAATTCATCCATGTCAATCTCCCATGCAGTCTATCCATGTCAACCTTATTATCTTTCGCCGGCCTTTTAGACACCTTCTTGTAGGAGGTGATGAATGCCCCACTCATCACATTCACCCGTGATTGCATCCATAACATACCATGAAATATATCCATGTTAATCATATCTTTCTCCGGCCTAAAAATTACATTTTACATAATTAATACGAGTATTTAATTTCTAAAGTATATCATGAACACTTTAAAAATACTTATCTCTCCCATGAAATCCATCCAATCCATCTAGATCAACCATCTCTCTCACGCAGTCCATCTATGTTAATCACCCGGGTGATTTATCTCTTCTATGCAATCCATCCATATAATCCATCCATGACAATCTCTCATGCAGTCTATCCACGTCACCTCCCATGCAGTCTATCCATATCAACCTTATTATCTTTCTCCGGCCTTTTAGGCACCTCCTTATAGGAGGTAGTGAATGCCCTACTCATCGCATTCACTCATGATTGCATCCATAACATACCGTGAAATATATCCATATTAATCATATCTTTTTACATAATTAATGCGAGTATTTTAATTTCTAAAGTATATCATAAACACTTTAAAATACTTATCTCCCTCATGAAATCTGTTCAATCCATCCATATCAATCTCCCACGCAGTCCATCCGTGTTAATCATCTGGGTGATTTATCTTTTCCATGCAATCCATCCATATAATCCACCCATGTCAATCTCCCATGCAGTCCATTCATGTCAACCTCTCATGCAATTCATCCATGATAATCTCCCATGCAGTCCATCCATATCAACATCCCATGCAATTCATTCATGTCAACTATCCATGCAGTCCATCCATGTTTATCACCCGGATGATTTATCTCTTCCATGCAATCTATCCATGTCAATCTCCATCCATGTCAACTATTCATGCAGTCCATCCATGTTTATCACCCGGATGATTTATCTCTTCCATGCAATCCATCCATGTTAATCTCCCATGCAATCCATCCATGTTAATCTCCCATGCAATCCATCCATGTAATTCATCCATGTCAACCTCCCATGCAGTCTATCCATGTCAACCTTATTATCTTTCGCCGGCCTTTTAGACACCTTCTTGTAGGAGGTGATGAATGCCCCACTCATCACATTCACCCGTGATTGCATCCATAACATACCATGAAATATATCCATGTTAATCATATCTTTCTCCGGCCTAAAAATTACATTTTACATAATTAATACGAGTATTTAATTTCTAAAGTATATCATGAACACTTTAAAAATACTTATCTCTCCCATGAAATCCGTCCAATCCATCTAGATCAACCATCTCTCTCACGCAGTCCATCTATGTTAATCACCCGGGTGATTTATCTCTTTCATGCAATCCATCCATATAATCCATCCATGTCAATCTCCTATGCAATCCATCCATGACAATCTCTCATGCAGTCTATCCACGTCACCTCCCATGCAGTCTATCCATATCAACCTTATTATCTTTCTCCGGCCTTTTAGGCACCTCCTTATAGGAGGTGGTGAATGCCCTACTCATCGCATTCACCCATGATTGCATCCATAACAGACCGTGAAATATATCCATATTAATCATACATATCTTTTTACATAATTAATTTGAGTATTTTAATTTCT